GCTGAATGGGACAATTGCTTCCAATTTTTCAATTTTTTAATCAGTGGAAGGCTTCCCAGATCTCTGATTGGCTTAGTATTCATTTCCATCAACGCTTCTCCACCAGGATTGAGCTCGCCTCCTAGGGGACCTCTGGCAATATCTGGAGACATTTGTGGCTGTCGATTGCTGGGGCTCCTAGTATCTACTGGGCAGTGACCACTGAGCCTACAGAGCACAGGACAGTTTCCCGTAACAAAGGATTATCCAGCTCCAAACGTCAACAGGGCTGAGGTGAACAACCCCTGGTTTAGGTTAAACACTGAGGCTTTTGGGACCAGCAGTTAGTAATGGCTATGTCACTGGACTCCCACGTAGGCGACCGCGGTTCGAGTCCCGGACCCGGTGGCTTAAACTCATGCGGGGCGCATGTGCATGCGTGCCCAAGATCCGGAGAGGAGAATGGAGGAGAAGGGATTGCGGCGTGACCATCCCCCCTGGGGGGTGATTTCTCGCTTTCTGTCTCTATGTCTCTCTCTGTCTGTCTCTGTCTTTCTGGCGAGCGCATGTGCCCTGTAGCAAAAAACCTCTCCAAAAAAGAGAAAGAAAGAAACAAACAAAAACCAAAAAAACCTGCTGAGGCTTTTGTGTACATTTTCTCCTGTCTGTTCATGGGCACCTTGGGACAGTTTTGGTAAAGACAAATATTGAAGGCATTTGAAACTGTAGCGCTTCTCTGCCTACACAGCTGGATGACATGATTACTCTTGAGGGAGAGCCTTCCTGGTCGGGATTCAAAGCTCCAAACATCCGACCTAGACCTTACAGAGGCATGGGCATCTTAGCATGGCTGGGCAGGTTCTCACTTCCAGCATGGCTGCCTCCCTCCCGTGAGAACTGGTGGGCAGTAGTGTCCAGGCATGTGGACTGACTGTGTGCCTGGCCCCTATGGGCCATGAAGGCGGCAGAACCACATATCCTACTCCTGTGTGGGCGCACAGGCTGCCTTGTCTTTTTGGTAGAGCATTTTAGAATGTTTGAGGGTTTAACTTCACACAGGTGAGTTCTGTGAGCTGGCAACAGGGAGAGTAGGTCTCATATATATCACTGATCTGCAAATTAGTGGTCATTCCACAGCATTCTTTCATGGCTTCAAAACAAGAGTAATATACAATGCGGGTAGGGAAAAAAATTGACCAACAGTAAGAAATCTGGACCTGAAGCTACAAATGGAATACAGACTTAATGAAAAATAAAGGCTAGGGTTGGGCTTTTGCAGGAAAACTGACTCTGGTCTTAGGAAGAGACAGCTAGGAAAGGAACAGAAAACCAGAGGGAGGACTGTGGGATTCGGAATACAGCTTTGGTTTCTAAGGAATTTGACGATTGGAGGGTTCGAAAAAAATTAAGGTATAAATTTTGGGACTGGTGTTTAAAATGTAGTGATAGACTTTTGGGGCCATTAAAGGCACGCCATGAAAAAACAAAAGATGAAGGCTTTCCAGGCGTACCCGTGGTAAGTTTATCCACCTGGCAGCAAATCTCAGGGGCTCGGCCTCAGATATCTGGACAACATCTCAGAATCTTGGAAATCTAGGAGGAGTCTAGAAGGTTCTCCAGCCTCTTCTTTCGTCCCCTGCACAGGGCAGCCCAACACACGGACTGTTTTAATTAATTTTCTTGTGGAGAATGCGACTTAATAATTGCCTTAAAACAGTGCAGCCTTGGGCCTTAGATGCACGGACTGGGTACTTTTGGGCAGCCACAGCTCTGGCCGTCTGCTCACTGCAGAGCTGGTTAAGATGACCACAGCTCAGGGGCCTGACCACTGCATCCGGGGACTTGGGAAAGACTGCCACGAACCCGTGCTTAGCACAGGGGCTTTCGCTCCTTCCCAGCCTTTGGCCTGTTTTATAGATTCTATGAAAAATTTGGACTCATTGTTCGGAGAATGGGGTTCTAGGAAGCAACAGGTGGGGGAATGGCAGCTAGCCTCTACAGAAACTCGTATACCCATAAAGCGGCTCTCGGTGCTCCCGAAGCAGCCCTGCCTCGCTCAACAACAACCTTGTTTTCCAAAAGCAATCCCAACCCCAAGCAATAAGCTTAAAAAATTCTAAACACACAGGCTCTGGTCCGCCCGTCCTGCAGATGGGGTGCGTGGGGGCGAGCCAGAGCAGCAGTCCCTGCGCTTCGGGGCGCAGCTGTGGCCGCCGGCTTAGCTCAGGTGGAAGCGGTGCTCGCCCCGCGTGATGTGCGATGAGAACTCGTAGCGGTCCTGGCTGTGGTAGCCGCACATGTTGCACTCGAAAGGATCCCGGAAGCCGTGGCAGCCCATGTGGATGGTGTACATGACGTGGTCGAGGAAGAGCACGCGGCAGTGTTCGCACTTGTACACCTTGATCTGCTCGCCGCTGGTGCTGAGCACGCGGAAGGCGTCCTGCGAGTTCTCGGAGGCGGCGCGCAGCACGTCGTAGGCGCGCTGCTCCTCCTTCAGCGACAGCCCGTTGCGCGCGTGCGGCGCGATGTGGTTGGTCAGGTAGATGAGGCCACCGCGTTGCTCCTCCGTGTTGCTCTCGGTGTCCGTCGAGTCTTGGCAGCTGTTGCTCGGCGAGGCCTCGCGCTCCGAGGACACCGACTTGGCCTTGGAGAGCAGCAGCAGGTTCTCCACGGCGCTGTCCTGGGCCGCGTGGTTGGCGCGCGCCGCGCCCTCCGCAGGGGCCTTGTGCAGCTGGTACATGGGGCTGATGACCGGCACCACCTCTGAGCCGCCCGGGGGCGTCTGCACCAGCGGGCGCAGGGACTCGGCCCCCAGGTAGTTGATGGCGTTGTTGATGGCCTGGTCCATCACGTGGGAAGTCATCATCTCGTTCTCCTTCTCGTAGCTGGCGCTGCCGTCGTAGGGCATGTCTGACAAGCACTTGTCCCCTGTGGGAAGCAGGCGACAGTGAGTGAGGCACAGCTGCGACAGCTTAAATTCACTGAGGTGAGCAGGTCCCTGGTGGCCCAGAGCCCCGCAGATGCACACTGGCTCCTGCATGCCGGGCAGAGGCATCTGTGTGCTGTGAACCCTAGGTGGGCACTGAACATAATTTGGTTGGAGAAATACATAAATGAACAGGAGACCAAAGAGCATGGTGTCCAATTAAACGGCACACACTGACGCCCACTATACCATTCTCATGTCTTTTATTAAGGACAGTACAATGCAATGTTATATTAATTTGAAATGAACATTTTTAAAGATGTATTTTTTTGTTTGTTTTTCTTAAGGTTTATGCTACAGTGGGTGTGTGCTCGCCAGAGAGGGCGACAGTGAGAAGGAAAGTGACAAATCATCCTGCAGGAGGGACAGTCATGCTGCAATCCCTTCTCTTCCATTCTCCTGGAATTTTGGGCACGCACGTGTACCTCCTGAGCCTGAAATCATATTACCAGGTCCAGGACTCAAACTACGGTCAACTCTGTGGGAGTCCAGTGGCTTAACCATCATGCCATCTGCTGGCCCCATAATGATGTACTTTCAATACAGTGCTCTAAGTAATGTGCAGTAGAAGGTTAATTGATAATTAACATGCATACTAAAGATGTAGTCATTATTACTGCAATGCACTGATTCAAAACAGTATGATGTGCTATAATATTAAAGTCATTTTAATCATCTAGAAAAGATTTAATCAGCATATATGGTGATTACGTATTATTTACAATAAAGTTATATTTGTTTTTATAAGTAACACAGAGGAAAATGAACTCTGATTTGTGATGGACTAAAAGGGATGCTCAGACTTAAAATCCTCCCTATTCCCCTCCTCAGTAGTCAGCAGCATTAAAACTGCACTCCACAGCAATATGTGGTAGGTAGGACGTGGGAAAGAAACTAAGGTTGCCACAGGGGAGAATGGTATGTTGTCCATTTAGCCTTAAAAGGATGCTCATGTTAAGGGCCGGTGGGTGGTGTGGTGGTTAAGGGTGCTGGACTCCCACATGGTCAACCGTAGTTCAAGTCCTACACCTGGTGCCTTGCTTTCTTACTCTCTCTCACCCTGTTCCTCTCTGGTCAACTTAAAATAAATAATTCTTTAAAAAATGAAATAATTCTTTAAAAAAAAGATTGTTCATGTTAATGACATACAAAAAATGTTGGACCTTGGCTTCAAGCAACTTCTGATCGATGATATTATTTCAGGTTGTAGGAGCAGATGAGCTACCTCCTTGGTAACAGTTAATTCTGAGACTAGATATGGCTTCTTGCAATTAGCTTTGCAGTAAACATTTCCATTAGAAATACTATGAGTTCCTTTGAAGATACCTTCCTAAGAAGTCCAGCCTGACTCATGGTTTACTTAGCAATCATCAGGTAAAGTAACTGCATTCTTACTGGACTTACGTTCCTTCGGTGGTAACTTCATCAATCAAAGCACATGAGGCCGTGAGTGGGAATGTTGGAATGGTGTGATTTACCACTCGCTCTTTCTGCCCTTCCTTCAACACATCTGGACCAGACTAGAGAGCAAGTAGAACAGTGCCATCCTTGGCAGCACACAGCTGGTCTCCACCTCAGTGCTCAAGAACACGGACAATGCACCCCAGCCTGAGAAATCCTGTGGAGGCTCTGAGAGTGGAGCATTGGATTCTGATCCAGTGGGAGTCGGCCAGGCAAGGGAGCTTTTGTGTGTCCAAGGTGCTGGGGACAGCAAGCGGGAAGGTTCTGAAGGAAGGTGTCAGTCTGGAAATTTCAGATAGTGAATGGGTAGGCACGGCTAGACCAAGCAGAGACTCTGAGTGGAAAGTGGAAGCTACTGAGAGGTTCGAAGGAAGAAGTGCCCTTGGGCAAAGAACAGACTGAAGAGGGGCTAAGTGAGGGGATGGCCAGAGACTCCCACAAGTTGGGGATGATGAATGGTCTGGGGAAAGGATGCCAATGGAGGGTCTTAACACTTCCCACATTGACCCCTGATGTTGAGTCTGCAGCAGATCCACAGTAACAGAGGACCAACTACTTTCAGGTCATTCAGTTACTACAATACTAGTACTTAAAAAATACGTGGCCATTAATATTTGCCCGTATACATGCGCGCCTCATTTCCTGAAGGCTCTTTGATCTTCACTCCTTACTTTGCAATGGGTGTGTGCATGCAATAGCCTGGTTTCCACTTGTTTCCAGGAAAAAAGAGAGAGAGAGAGAGAGAGAGAGAGAGAGAGAGAGAATAAATTAACCCCCTGGGAAGCTGATGGTGGAACCCAAGCTGTGGTGTTTCTCTCCATTAAGGATAAGAAGAAGTGATCGTGCTGCATTCTTGAAAACACACAAGTAATCTTGTTTTTCTTTGTGCTGAGGTGCTACATGTCTTGTTACACTAACTCCAGAACAGAATGAATGGATTCATTCCCATTTAGACCCAGGTCTGTCCCTCTACCAAACCCTGGCAAGGACTGGACTTTGTAGCCAGTTCTGCTCAATGGAGAAGTGTAAAGAAGTGTGGATAGCTCTGCTCAAAGTGGCGCCTTCCACCTGATCATCCTGTTTCTCCCCAGAGTCACAGTTCTGTGGTTCCCAAGCAACCATTAACACCTGTATTTCAAACCATTGACACCTTGCTGTCAATAACAAATAGGTGTGGGAAAAAAGAACATACATTCCAGGCTGCCATGGCATGATAAAACTACTCATAGAATTTCTCCTTCCTAAAACCCAACAACATGAGAAAAATAAAAACCTAAGAAACTCACCAACAGTAATCAAATAAAGGAAAAACCATACCCTAACATACATGGGAAACTGTACCCTAACGTACATAGGGAAAAAAAAGAAATCAAGGACCAATAAAAGAAAATTCTGGCCTAAGATATAGGGCAACATTGACTGCTAATATCACTTTAAAAAACTGCAGGTATGAATCAAAAATGTCCTGGGCATTCTCCCTACTATCCCCATATCCATAGAGAAACAATTCAAATAGATACCTTTTTCATCCTCTACTGGCAAGAACCAGTTCACAGCTTACACCAGAGGAGTGAGCAGAGAGGCTGCTCCCTGTCTGAAAAGCCAGTACCTTCATGGTCTACGCTGCAGCAAAGGGCAGCTCAAAGCCCTGAGCCTCCCCTATAGGGTGGGAAGCCTTCTCCACAGTCCTTCTCCTAGGCATAGTGCTCCTGGTTTGGGGAGCGTTAACCACTCAGTAGGATGGAATAAGAGCAGAGAGGAAGTCTTTTTAACAAAGGCTGTACTTTGCCTCACCTGAACTCCCCCCATCCCATCCTTGGCATCCTTTCAGGATTTAGAAAAGTCGATAGCTCTCACAGGATAAAAAAAAATGTCTCAGATATAGTGGGAAGAATGTCGAAATGTCAATCAAGCTACAGCAGAACTAATAGAATACAGAGAAAAAAAAATGTCATGGTTACTGTGAAAATATTTTCGAGCCACACAAGGGAAGAAAGGAAGTAAAACACAGACCAATAAGTCCATCCTAGGAAAAGAGAAAAAAAAAATCCTTAGTTCAAGGAAGAGAGGAAATGTCTCATAGTAGCTTCATGACATGGAGTCAATTTAAAGAGAACATTCGAGGATGACATGCAGAAAACAGAGAGAGGGGGTAAAAGAGGTCTCAGATCTCAGGAAACAAAATCAGATCTCCAAACATCCTTATTACACATTTATACATAGATTAAAAATAGCAAGTGACAAAACTATTAAAAACTGAATTACTAACAGAGGAAAAAAAACACAAGATAGTAATAGTGGATAAGTATAAAAAAAGATAAAGAGATAAAAATAAATTTAAAGAAGTGTTAACATATATGGAAGACAAATTATCCAACAGGTGAACAACTAGCATCCCTGAAGAGAGATCACAGTAGAAGGAATGGAAGATAGATTTACATAAAAGAATATTTCCCAGGAAACAGAAAAAGCAATCTCCAGATTAAAATGGCAGGAAATTCCCATTCAGAATACAAAACACCAAGACGCACCTCAGTTTAGGATATTTAACTTTAAGGTTAAAGAAAAAGTCCTTCAGGCATTTAGGGAGAAAATGGAAATCCCCTTAAAGAAAACAAAACAAAACAAAACTCAGAGATCAGCAGATGATGTTATGGTTATGTCGCTGGACTCCCATGTAGTTGACTGTGGTTTGAGTCTCAGACCTAGTGGCTTAAACTCACGCCAGGTACATGTGTGTGTGCCTAAGATACCAAGACAAGAATGGAAGAGAAGGGATTACAGCATGGTCATCCCTCCTGGGCAGGGGGGATGTGTCATTTCTCACTTTCTGTCTGTCTCTCTCTGTCTTTCTTGCCAAGTCATGCACCCTATAGCAAAAAACAAACAAACAAACAAAAAAACAAAAAAAAATGCCTCTAAAAAAAAACTCACACCAGGCGTGTGTGCGTGTGTACCCACAATTCCAAGAGAATGGAGGAGAAGGAACTTCAGTCTGGCCATCTTCCCTGGGGGTGATTTCTTGCTTTCTATCTCTCTGGTGAGCACACACACCCAATAGCAAAAATTTCTAAAAAAATCTAAGAAACTCATAGACAGGCCTTTGACAGCTCCACAGCAACACTCGATAAGCTTTGCCATCAGACAACAGGGCCAGGTTTAAAATGCCCTCAGGGTGGAAAGAAAAAGAGTGAGTCTAGACCATACTCTGTCAATATGCTCTTCAAACAAGGGAACCAGCAGTTAGCGTAATGGCTATGTCGCTGGACTCCCACATAGCTGACCGTGGTTCGCGTCCCGGACCCGGTGGCTTAAAACTCACGCCGGGCACGTGTGCGTGTGTGCCCAAGATCCCGAGAGGAGAATGGAGGAGAAGGGATTGTGGCGTGACCATCCCCCCTGGGCGGTGATTTCTCACTTTCTGTCTCTATGTCTCTCTCTGTCTGGCAAGCGCACGCGCCCTATAGTGAAAACCTCTCCAAAAAAACCCCCCAAAAAACAAACAAAAAAATGCTCTTCAAATAGAACCACTGTGGAAATGGCATGCCAGGACCTTTTTAAATTTACTTGCAATCAATTAAGAAATTAATAAAATAAACCAAATAGTAGTAAAAAGATTGTGCCTGATCCTTGCATCTATTTTAACACACAGTAATAAATAAATTACTATGAGAATTATTTTTATTTATTTTTTTCTTCTAGTTTTGCTATAAAGCACATGTGCTTGCCAAAGAGAGATGGTGGGGAGTAAGAAATCACCTCCCAGGGAGATGGCCATACCACAATCCCCTCTTCTCTATTCTCCTCTTGGAATTCTGGGCACATATGCATAAGTGTCTGGTATGTTTTTCAAGGCACCAGGTTCAAGACAAACTGCACAGTTGGCCATGTGGAATCCAGTGCCTTAACCACTGTACCACCTGGCTGGTCTAGAGAATTATTTTTAAATCACACTGTGACTATTATGAAGCTGAGTCATGAAAACATAATAATATAACTATGACCATTAGAAACTGAAATAATGTCCTTATATTTTAAAGCAATGAGCCAATAGATACTGCCTGGACAGGAACAAATGAATTAAAAAGAATGATGCAAATAAAGCTCTTGATTTTTCAAAGTCAGTTAGGTTTTTTTTTGTTGCTTTTTTTTTTTTTTAATTTGGCAGAAGGCACATGCACTTCCTGGAAAGAGACAGGTGGAGGTGGTGGGGGTGAGAAAGCACCCCACATAGGGGGTGGTCATGTGTGATCCCTATCCTCCATTTCTCCCTCCTTTCTGGATTTTGGGCAAGCAGCTACATGTCTTTGAAGTGTTTCTCAAGTTGCCGGGTCTGTAGCCAACCATGCGGGATCCAGCCTCTTTAACCACCATGCCACTGGCTGACCCCAAAGTAAATATTTTTCATCTTAGAGAAGTTTTTAAAAATATAATATCCCTTTCTGTGAGGGAATATTTAAAAATCAGCCAGTCCTCCCAAAACTTTCACTTTTTACACTTTTGATTCTTTTTCATTCTTTTAACATTTAAGACATGTATAATATAGTATGTAATAATATATTATATATATATTTCATATATATATGAAATAATATATTTCATATAATAATATGAAAGTATTTATGTCACATCTACTGTCTCCCTATTTATCAGTCTATATATTCACACACATACAGAAAGCGATCTAGGATAATGTTTGCCTACTTTTGCTCTGGATAACTTCTGGATGCTGGGTTTGTGGTGACTTCATCTTTGCATTAAAATTCCTTATATTAATTGTGTGTCATTTTGATAAGCTAATATTTTTTCTTACAAAAGGAAAGTATACCAAGATAATTATAATGGGCAGCAAGAATATTGGTAATTGTTAGTTTCCTCTTTTTATTTGAAAAATGTCCTCACCATGATCACCAGACTAGAAGCACTGCTATATCCTGTTAGTCCTTCCCTGATTAGACCCACTGATCCCATGGACTTATTTACGTCTGATGATCTGAGAGAGTGAAATCTTTTTTTTTGAGAGAGAGATATTTTGCTATGGGGGTGCATAGGATCGCTGGAGAGACAGAGGGACAGAAAGTGAGAAATCACCCCTTGGGGGAAATGGCCATGCCACAATCCCTTTTTCTCCAGTCTCCTCTCAGGATTTTGGGCATGCACACACACGTGCCCAGCCTAAGTTTCAAGCTGCTGGGTCTGGAACCCAAGCCGTGGTGGGCTATGTGCGAGTCCAGCACCTTATCCACTGTGCCACTTGCTTGCCCCAGAGTGAAATTTTTGATGGCCAAAATGGCAAGGAATGTTGTTAACAAAACAAATACCGATTCATTCCATGTCCAAATTTAATTAAAAAATGTTGACCATAGCTCATATATTAATAAGCAAAAATATACACACACTGAGCAATATTCAGCATGAAAATATGGTCACCTTAGGTTGTTACGGTGCTTTCTAGTGCTGATCCTCAGAATAGCTAGTATTGATCGTCTCTCCCTTTTGATCCTCAGAATGGCTCCAGCAGGGAGGTAGGCCAGCAGACCCATGTCCATTTCATAGATGGCTACACTGAACCCAGGGTAACACTCAAGGACAACAGTCGGTGAGAGCTGGAGCTGCGTCCTGATTGGTCAGTGGGAATCCCACCACATTGCGGGTAGGACAGGCATTTTAGGGTAGGACGAGACAAGGTTTTCTAAATGAACTGCTCATCAACAACTCTTGGAGAAACATCAACAAATACACAGCTGCTTATGAGCTTTTTCCTGTTCCTACTATCCTCACCTGCTGTTCCTAAAAGCTGCTGTTTCTCCTGTGTCCAACCTTTCCCCCATAACTTCTTTTTCATCTTGGCTTTGTTCTATCAGAGCATTTTTGATTATTATTATTACTATTGTTATTATTTTCTTTAACATGGAAACATCTCAAGATAATGTCTGCATTGTGGTCTCACCCAGGTGGCCATGGTCGAGTTTCACAGATGTGTGCATTGGCTTGAAGTCTCCAAAAGCTAAATGGGGCAGTTGATGTTCCTTTACCACAGCACTTGACCTTCTCCAACTCCTAGCCTGGGGGAGGAAGCCATTCCTTACCTCCCCAGGTCAGTGATATTCACAACCATCAGACACACTCTGCTTCATTGCTGCATACCTTCCTGGTCACCCCGTCATCTTTTCTCTGTGATGACCACACCTGGGGACCTCCCAGCATGGGCTGTCTCTGGAGTGGCTCCTGGGCTCTGCGCCAGGTGTTGCCTGCAAGTCCACCCACCCCAACAGCTCACTCTCTGCACAAGACTCCACCCTGCTCACGAAGAGAAGGTTTCCTTCATCCTCACATTTTGTGGGCAGCTCCCTCATACAATCAGTGGTTTTTATTTTTGTTTAACTGAATCCTTCCTTCCCCTGATCCTTCTAACCCCCAATCTATGACAAACCTTTATTTAACAGAGGTCAAGACGAAAGTCTTTTCTAAGTTGTAAGAGGGAACCTGATACCAAGAACTTGGCCTCCCCTTCATCCTTTTGCTTCTTGCTCTCCTTCTGGTACTCCATTAAGCACTGTCCTAGTCTCATACTGTCTTCTGCATACATTTCCTGTTTGCCATCAACACCAGGAAGTCTTTGGAAATTAGTATATCAAAAATAGAGCTCCAGGTTTTTCCAGAGCCCAGTTTTATCCTTCCTGTAAACACTGTACTATTTTACTCAGGTCAGTATGACTCCCTGTTCCTTCATCAACTCATCCTGACCCCTAGGTTCTGCTTTCACTAACCTCTCTGCTCCATACCCTCTTATTTACACATCTGTTGCCATCGTTCCCTTGCTCTCCCTTTTCCAAACAGTTTTTGGCACTTGCTGTCACTCCTATCCAATATGCTGCTCTCATCAAAATATGTCAATGCTTTTTACTATTGAAAGGAGACATCTCTTCCTGGGCATCTGAGGACCATTCATCCTGTGGTTAGAGTTTGCTGGGGCAGCTTCTTGTTTACTGCTTCTTTGTGGGTATCTGGGCTCTGCCAGGAGCACACCCAGCTCTCCTACATGTCCCTGACTCCCCAGCATCCCTGCTCCTCTTCATTTTATATGTCTCCCCACCCCGCATCTTAGTGTGCCTGTGACTCTAGTTGGCTAAAAGGCTGCGGTGGAGATTGTGGTATGACAAAACCCTGTCAGGGGTCTTTCTCTCATTTAATGAATTAATAAATAAACTTTAGGAAAAAAATGAGGCTCTGTTGCTCAGAGTTTAGTCAGGCATGGGGTGGTCCTGCTGGGCAGTGGGCCTATAGGTCCCCAGCTCAGCCAAGTGCATGTTCTTAACCCTGTGCACACTGACATCATAGGCAGACCATACCAAGGGCCCCAGACACTACAAAATCACATCTAAAAGAAACTGGTGAAGGGAGCTTTGTTGCTTTCTAAAGACTTATCAGAAAAAATTCTAAGATATGTAAGAAATGTTCAGCTTCATGAATGTTTGCTTTTCAAAAAAGTGAGATTTATTTTTTTTCCTTTCTTCTGCCCTCAACGAATTACCTCAACTAAAACACCCATATAGTTGGTTTTGAAGAGACAGCAAACATTTAACTCTTACCAAGAAATTTCTGAGGCATAGAGCTCTTACGTTTGGCGACGTTACTTGCTAGTCTGTCCAGCACGAGGGATCTCTCAGATCCGCCTATCTTGCACAGGTCTTCTGCCATGTCACTGTGATTAGTTTCTTCTTTAATGACTAAAGTCAAAGACAGTTAAAGAGGCCAGTTTAGAAATACTTGTTTCAAGGGTTCAGTTGAGTCCACTATTAAATCTGACATCTACAAGTGCCTACAAGACCAGGCCCTCCATAGAGATTATTTCTAATCTTCCCAGCAACCCTGTCAGACAGTGGCTAGCCATAGCAATGCTTGTGATCAGCTACCTACCAGAACTCCATCCTCTGACACTTGATGACCACACGTCATCTCCTAAGACCAAAAGAGCAAGCACCACCACCATCACCAGAGACTGGACTGGGATTAACTATGTCCCTTTGAGGGTGCTTTTGTTTCCTAATTTCAAAATACACTGATTCAGTCAACCCTAATAACAGCTCTCTGTCCGAAAATGATACCAAGGTCTGACCCCACTAATTGACACAAGAAACTGAGATGCAGAGTTGTAGTCCCTAAGGGCCCCCATTGTATCTTGGAGACATTGGCAAGAAATCAAAGCTCCTTACTCCCAAACACACAGCAGACTCCTGAAACTGAACCATACATGTGTGTTGGAGAAAATTCAGAAATCATGGGACATTTTGAAGGATGGGCTATTTCTGGTCAACTCCTACAAGGGGACTTCAAAAAAGTCATGGAAAAATAGTATTAAAGTCAATTTTGATGCAAAATACTTTGCAATACATGGATAGTTTATTTTTTAAAAAATAATATGTATTTCTAAAAGCCTTTTTGAAGACCTCTTGTATTTTCCTATACCATCTTTCTTTCCATAACATGATATGTTTTTGTATTTTGCATAGTTTAATTGATATTTACTTCTAGTTTTTATGGTAGGATTTCTGGAAATAAAGTATTTTATTTCCCTGCCACTTATCCTAATATATAAGGAGCTAAAAGGTAAATCAGTTATCTTCCAAATACCTAATCGATGCTTCCACACTATGTGTACTCTGACATTACATGCTGGTTTCTCACAGGGTCTCTTGTAGGTTATCTATTTCTGTTATTGATTTGTCTGTCATTCTTCAAAGAGTTCCATACATTACAGTTACATTTTTAGTAATGCTAGATATAACTCTTTTTTCAAACCCTGCTCATTCTCTCATTTATTTTTCCAAGTGTACTTTACACGCTACTTATTTGGACTTACAACACAATTTATATTGAAATTATGCCTTGATTTGGGAGGATGAGCAAGGACAGAGTCTGGGATTCTTCCCCTCAATCTTCCATTCTTTCCTGCTTCAGTAAAGTTGGTACTTTTGTCATGATCCCCTGCCAATACCTGTTAGGATGGTTTGTAAGTATTTTATGTCTTCACTGCTATATGAATGCTACCTTGAAAACATATTTAAAATTGGTTATGATTGCTGCTATGTTTTATTTTTTCACACTGCAAATGTGTGTTTCTTACTAAATGAGCAGGCCGAGAGAGCCCATGCTGTGATTTAAATCCGCAAGGCACAATTCCCCTCGACAAACACTTGACCTATCAAGCAATATGCTTCCTCACATCTCCAGCCTTCTTAGCAAAGTTGGGCCCAGCCTGCCAAGGGTTTCAAACCATCTCCAGTGGGGTTTCATTCCCAAACTCTGACCTCCAGAGTCAATCACAGGAATGGACAAATGAGTCCAAAGTTCTCAGGTCATTGGTTACTTTGTCTGCACATGCATTGACTCCAAGGGCTTATGACACCAGTTGTGTGCCTACGGTGCAAGAGAAACTTATCTCTTCTGTAAAGACATTAAGACATTGTAACAGGTTGACTAAAAAGCCTTTAACTAAGGAAAATTATATTCAGAAAAAATCATCTTTTCATACATCCCTTACGCTGGTGGTGGTGGTTATTTTTTAAACTTAATGGACCCAACCTATGAGGATTGAGAAGGAGTCATCCGTCTGAGCACAGGAGGGCCAGGAGAGGAGAGATTAGTGTAGGAAGGTACAGGTTCAGCATCACCAGGACCCTCAGCCCCCTGTGTGCCCTTCCAACCCCAAATACCATCTACAAGGACATGTATTAAAGTCCTTTTATGGATCCCGTCAATGCCAGGGTTCCTTGAAGCAGCACTTTCTGTATACCTACAGGACTAGGTGTTGATGAAGGTAAAACAAAAGGGGCTAAAAGGTGTCCCTGCCTGAGTGTTTCCAGTCACTCTGCATATCTTGGCAGGAAGGAGTCCACAGTAATGAATTCTAGCTCGCCTGGCTCTGTGTGTTACACGCTTGATCTGATCACCACTTCTTCCTGGAGAAGCCGTCTCCCTCATGAGTAGAGGAGAAAACGACATCACTGCGGTGCTCCAGAGAACTGGACTCCAAAAGGGAATAAATTCACCTTTTGGGGGGAAATTAATTCTCCCCATGGGGTACTATTTAATACATATGACAGACCCATAAGTTTATTGATGTAGACACCAGTAGAGGAGAATTAGAGTCAAGAGGTGGTTATGTCAGTGGCTTTTCACACTGAAAAGATGAGCTCTAAGTCCCATTCGGAAACTGATTAAGAAGGCCTACTCCATAGCCCAGTGATCAAGGGAGCTGGATCCCACATGGCTGACCAAGATTCAAATGCATGCCCGGGTAGCTTAAAAAACACATCAGGTGTGTGTGGGCCCCAAATCCCAACAAGATGGAGAAATGGGGAAGAGTGGTGTGACCACACCCCATTGGGTGTCTGTCTGTCTGTCTCTCTCTTTCTGGAAATTCAGAAAACAAAAACAGATTTAGAGATGAAACTTGAACTCAGGTCTCAGTTAAATGAGGGATGTGTCTACCCCTGGAAGAAGCTTGTAGTCTGCTTAGACATCACAGCTTGTCCCTTCAGTAATGAAAACCATGGCACAAACAGAAAACAACATTCTCCATCTGTTTCTTGTTCCTTCTGTCTTCTCAGTTCTTTGTATCAGATATTCAATTGGACTTGGTATTACGGCTAATAAGTCTTCAGTCAATATTTGCTGAGTAAATAAAATGGCTTATTTAGGCATTAACATACAAATTATTAGAAGCACTTACTTTTAAGACTCTTTTTTTTTTTTATTTTTTGAGAGGTTTTTGCTATAGGGTGCATGCCTGCCAGAAAGACAGAGAGAGACAGAGACAGAAAGCAAGAAATCACCCCCCAGGGGGGATGGTCACGTTGCAATCCCTTCTCCTCCATT